GGGGGGGGGGGGGACTGCTTCAGAGTGCATCAGAGGCATTGTGTCAGTGTTGGGTTTCTTGAACGGCCTTTGGGCGTCTGCTCTCCACTCCTGTCTCTGCGGTCCAACTTTCACGGACTGGAAGCATCACAGAACTGGTGACAAGCGTTTTTTCATCTGTTTGCACGCACATCACCACATGCCCAAACCTCAAGACACCTTCAGTTGGTCCCCCCTGCACTGATTGAATGCTAAATCCAAAAAACCAGCAACATGCCTGAACCCGAAAGCCCAGCGATCTGGCGAAGCTCAACCTTTTTGCACCCAAACATATTCCGACGTCTCTATGTACTCTATAGAGAGCGGGCTCACAGTTTACGGGTTTAAGACGTTAAGAGGAGAGGTTCAAAGTGGGTAGGGCATAGGGGGGCCTTCTCTTGAGCATGCAGGAGCCGCCTCCTCGTGGCGAGGTCTCGAAAGATCCGAGAGCTGCTTGGCTGGCAGGTGTCAATTCTTGATGGCGAGGATCCAAGCTTTGACGATTGACTGGTTTTGGCCCTACAGGCTTCATGCTGCGATATATATAAAAGGACTTGCATCGGTTGCTAGCTGCTGGCTTTCTCCGTGTTGTGGGTCTTGAGAAGTGCACAGGGTGGTTCAAGTACTGTAAGACGCCGGTGCCATGGACAGCGTGGCGAACGCAGTCTCTGTGGCAGTGTCAGCCGCCTCTGCGGCTTTGGAGGTCAGCAGCGATGCAGTGGCACCTCTCTGGTCTCAGCTGGCGCTTTTGGTCTCTGCAGCTTTTCAGGTCACGCAAGCCTTTTGGCTGCTGATCGGATATGCATTTAGTTTGCTCACACAGAAGTTGTTCACACAGCCTCTCTGGGCTACGGTTCTAATCGCAGTGCCCTCGGTGTACCTTACCTATGTGGTGGGTCGCTGGTTCATCAATCTGTCCTGGGAGCGCGGCCTGCGGGATTCGCGAAGCGGTCGTTTGGAGTCGCGGGGGAAGCGGCCGAAGCCGCCCGAGCTCCAACTCTTGGAGCGCTTCTCCTCGGGCGAGTCAGACTTCGAGGACATCAACGAGGCTCAGCCGGCCACATCGCGAAGCCCGACGCAGAGCTTCGATCGGCAGATGGCATCCGTTCTGCAGGAAAAGGAACGCCTTGCTGGCAGCGGGTTGCTCCTGAGTGCTGCCGGGGCATCTGGCGGCTTCGGCCTTGGCGACGCAGAAGCTGAGTGCCTCCGTTTCCTTGAAAGCCAGATGGAGGATGTGGTCTTCGCACCTGGCCAGTCGATTTTCGATCATGGCGACCCCCGCTCTGCATTTCTGGTTGTGAAAAAAGGTGAGGTGATCGTACAACCTGGCAACCGGCCTACATCCGACGTTTACACAGTGGGCCCTGGGAATGCCATCGTCGGACTGCTCTACGTTCTGGCCAGCTTGCAGTCACAATGCTCCGATACTGATTCCCCTGTACCATGCACGGTGCACAGCAGCTCCGCGGCGGCAGGCATGGAGGGTGCCACCGTCGCAAAGCTTCCGGTTGAGTGTTTCAGTGATTCCTTCGATAAATTTCCAAAGGCCATGCAGTGGTTGGTGCAGCGCCTCTGTATCCGTCTCTCCACAGTGGTCTTCCAAACTCTTTCGACCCACTTTGGTCTCAGACGGGAGTTTATGATTCCCTCCGGCTCCAGAATATTAACTGTCCCAGATGCTAGCACACCTCCAGCTGCAGCCTTCCGTCAACTTGTCGTACCGGAAAGCGACGAGTGTGACTTGGCCGAGACCATCGTCCGACCCGCAGGAGACTTGGCTTTTCCCTCACAGTCGCGTGCCAAGCACCTGATGATCCTCTTGGAAGGCGACCTGGTCGTAGAGCAGAGTGGAGAGCCCGTAAAGGGGATGGTTTCACCAGGAGATGTCATAGGCGAGTTGTCCATCCTCACAGACAAGCCTTCGCCGATCCACTATCGCTGCCAATCAAAGTGTACTTTCGCAGCATTGCCAAGAGAGGCATGTCAGCGTCTACTGGCACGATGTCCAAGGAGCTTTACCCTCACACTGCTCCACCTTATTGTAGGTCGAACAGCCACATGGCTCCACCGGGTGGATGCTTGTTTGGAGTGGCTCGCCGTCGAGGGCAGCCGATGTTTGTACAGGCAAGGCGATCCGATGTGTGGCTTCTTCATCGTGTTATCAGGACGTCTCGTCGCTCTTGAGGACACAGAGGAGCCTGCGCCGCGGATGCCACAACTCCGGAGCAAAGCCAGTCCGCCCGGGATTCGTGTGCGAGAGGTGCTCTTGCGCGGCAGCCTCTGTGGCGAGCTCGATTGCTTGCGCAACTCGACCTACTCGCAGACAGTGCAGGCATCGCGCGACACCGAGGTGTGCAGGGTCTCGCCGATGCTACTGCAGGTTGTGGCTCTTGAGTTTCCAAGAGCTATCCTTCACTTCAGTTCGCAGATCGGCCGGAAGCCGGCCCAGTCGGAGGCCTCTGCCAGCGCCAAGTACAAGACGACCATTACCGTTGTTCCTGCCACCGCAGATGTGGACATAAACCGTGTATGCTCAAGATTGACGGCAGCTTTGACTGTGCTGGGCAATGCCATGCACATTACGCCGAGCACGGATCTCTTCTGTGCGGCACCAGGAGTTCAAGGAGCTGTAAGAAACTTGGACGAAGGGCGTCTTGCCCGACTCTTAGCCGATCTGGAGGAGAGAAATCGCTGGCTGGTCTACGAGGCGGAAGCGCCCGGCAGCAAGGGGGTCACAGACTGGACCAGGCGGTGCGTCCGTCAGGCGGGCTTGGGCTAGGCACATGATGCACGTCTTAAACATGGTTAGGAAAACCCTTGCATATATACTCTGTTTGGCCTGTGGCTGCAAGATTGCACATAGGTGAACTCACTAAAGCCTGTATCGGGAACTGCCTATTTAAGCATACTCCTCTTCCATCAACTTCAACATACTTCAATCATCAGTTCCAATGTAGATAGACAGCAAGGCCGGTCAAGCAGTGCCGCAGCATTGCCTTAGTCTAGGCCTTCTGACTTTCAGCTTATCACCTCGAGAAGAGTTGGAACATGTTTCTCTCAGGGCCAACAGTGCTTGCTTGATCGGTGTTAGAGGTCGAACATGGTAGAGCCAAAGCTTCCAAGAGTCTTGCACAGTACGCTAGATAAGTTTTCGGTCCCGCCACGATGCCCGGCATGCTCTAACATGGCCGCTTTTTGCACCCCAAAAATACATGGGATCATGTTGAAGATCGCAGCTGTCCGGCAGTTGCGTTGCAACTACTTCTGTCTCGCGGCCCTAGCTCCTCGCAGTAGACGGATCATAGACCAGTATCTTGACCCTATGAATTGCTCGATCAAGTGGGTCTCAGACAGCTGAAAAGTCACAATGTGCTCAAGCACGATTATGACGGTGCAGCCCAGGCTAAGGCGGTGTTTCTTTTCGTGTCGTAAGCACTGCCGAACTCTGGCATCAGGCTGACATCATCCTCGTCGCTACCAACTTTAACGGTCAGGGCCGCGGCGATGTGCCGCAGACTCTCAATGAGAAGCACGTGCGCGATGCAGCACCCCTTTTCGTGACCAGAGAGTTGCTTCTGCTCCACAAAGGCGTACAAGGAAAGAGCGGCAACGTTTCCAAGCTCTCCTCAATGGACGACTGGTTCGTTGGTGCCGCCGCAAGGGCCGATTCGCTTCGGCCAGGTGTCACAGGCTTCGTCCGGCACCACCTCTTTGCTCCACACCGTGGGGGAGGAATGATGAGGTCCACGCGGCACTACCTTAATCCCAGGCCGTGGGCCAGCAGCTGGCACCACGTCCGCGTTGGCCACGGGGACTCTGTTGACTGGAACAGGTGTGCACGGCTGCTTGCAGGTAAAGCTATTGGCGTTTGCTTCGGTGGAGGGGGTGCTCGAGGGAATTGCCACTTCGGTGTCATAAAGGCGATGCAGGAACTCGGCATACCCATCGATATTGTCAGTGGCACGTCGTTCGGTGCGCTCGCAGGGGCGATGTATTCCATGAGTGCACCCGAACCGACCTCGCTGCCGGCCCTGGTCAAGAGGGTGATGACGAAACAGTTTTCGGCCCGGAAGATGATGCTGGATTTGAACTTTCCCAGAACTGCTTACTTCACAGGGGCCTACCTTAACAGTGTTCTAAAAGAGATCTTCGCCCGCCGCAGACTGGAGGACCTTCTGATTCCTTTTGCATGTACCAGCACGGACATAGTGCACTTTGAGGAGAAGGTCCACAGGGATGGCCCTCTCTGGAGGGTGATCCGTGCTTCGATGAGCCTCGTCGGGTTTGTGCCGCCAATCCCACACCAGGAGAGAAGGGAAGATGGCAAAGTCAGCACGACCCTGCTTGTGGATGGAGGGTATGTAAACCAGTACCCCATAGAAGCTCTGAAAGACCACGGGGCCGGCACCGTCATTTGCATCGTCGCGTGCCCAGACTATTCTCCGGTTTGCACTGACTATGGTGACGTGGTCCGTGGCGGTCTGGTATCTTTACAGCGGCGTTTCGGTTGCTGTCGACGTGCTAGCGGGGACCCTCCCAGCCAAGCCGAAATCCAGGAGCGCTTGATGTTTCTGGTGGAGGCCATGAAGGAGTCGCACAGCTCCCGAGCAGACCTTGTAATTTGCCCGGACATCACCAACTACGGGCTCCTTGACTTCGCAAAGTTCGAAGAGATTTCCCAAAGCGGCTACGAGGCGGCACTTCCAGAACTTAGGGCTTGGCTCCCACAGGCCCCTGAAGCGGTGCACGCCACAATCGCTGCTGACGCCGATCAGGCCGCTCAAAAGAGCGTCAACGAAACGGAGTACGGCTCGCGTCGGGGCTACCGCTCCTGGCGTACCAGCGCCTCGCAAGCGGCGCGGCGCCTCTTGACTAGCCCTCGGCTCCGCGCGCACAGTGCCGGCAGTGATTTACATCTGCAGGCCAGCGATGCCGACTACGAGGCAGAGAACGAAGGCTGAGTGCCTGAGCTCCTCGCGAGTCGTTGTGGGCTCTGTTTTGCAAGAGCGAACCTGTACACTTCATTGAAAAGAACAGTCGGAGAGAATCGCTAGCAGCCCTATTAGCTCTGAATCTGAAACACTTCGCCATTTCGCAGATCCCATGAGCACACCTTTGACACCTTTGCCCGTATCGCAAAGGTAGAGCCTGCGGCGGCCCAGGGATCTTTTCCAAGACCGGGCCTTAGCGACGTCGCTGGTCGCCCCAAGTTTAGAGACTTCCTGCTTGCTGAAAGGCACTGCTTGGGCCAATTTCTGGCATCTACTGCAACAGATACTCTTTCAGGGTGCTGTAGCCTCATGGTTTGTGGACTCCTCGGCGCGAGAATTTCTCTCGCCCACGTGCAAGTTTTCCGGCTTCAGGCCACCGATGCCAAGGTGCTTGGCTCGCCGAGTAGTGTCTTTGACCCCGCTACACACATGTCACAACTCAAAGGCCCACGTCCCCAAGCTGAACAAGCTTCGACTTACAGCTTAGGAACGGCATCTGAATCAATCCTCGACCAGGATGCACATATGAATATGCAAGTTTGCTTCGTTCCAGTCATAAATTCCATGATGCCCGAGGTGAACCTGCGTCCGTGGTTCACGCCCCAGAAGATCCTGTCGTGAACGAGCCGCAGTCCAGCTTCTCGATTTCGCGACAGATGCGCCTCAATCCATGATACAGGCGGCAAGGGCCGGAAAAGCCCCAGCCTTCGTTGAATGCCATGACGCCGCACAAACAAAGGCACAACTTTTCCATCGGAGCAACCTCTAGGAGATCAAGCTTACATTCGTACGATCGTCATCATCGTCATCATCATCCTCATCGTCGTCACCATCATCGACATCGACCTCCTCAGCATTATCATCATCATCGCCGGCAGAAGCAGCAGCAGACCCAGCGACCTTGTCGTCCTCGTCGTCGTGTTGAGAATGCTAGATAGTAGGACTTGTACGGGGAATATCAACAGCAGTCATCGCAATAGCGATGGCGGAGATGAGAAGTTGGTTTGACACACATGCAGTAGAAGTATCGAAGCCCTCATGAGGTCCCTAGCGGCACTGATGCTGCGCAAATGGGCCAAGAGCAAGAAGGACTGTCGGATGTGTTACCGGTCGAATTTAATATTCACCGGCGTCCGGTCTCGTTTTTGGATCGGGGCGTTTTAACCTGACTTCGTGCTCCTGTAGGCAGCCTGTTTCCGACACTTCCGGTGCTGCAGGTGGTTGTTGTTTTCTCATTGGCATCCCTGACTGCTCATGGACCACAGGAGACCGTCACGCGGAAGCCAGCCAGGACGCCTTCATCCATAGAGAGGATCTGATGCATGAGGTTTGTAGCAGAGTGGATTTCAGCATTGTTTGCCCATCTGAAAGACAGGCTTCAGTTAATTATCTTCTGCCAGCGACTAGCATTTCAATTAGATCCCGAATCTATCTGGGGAGACAGTTAGGTTCCAGCAACACACTCTTGACATACGTGATTTGTAGATCGCCAATGCCAGCGTCATCATCATCATCATCATCAACACTGTCACGACCGTTTCACATAAATCACAACATGCCGTTGGTATCGACTGAGATCACCATCGTTATGTATCTAGCCTAGATGAACTGCTTCTTAGATCCTCGTTTGCAATCACCGGTGTTAGCCTCGCTGTCGTCGTCATCTTCAACATCATCATTCATCATCGAGTTCCTTGCGGTCTCTGACCCACCATCGCCATCATCAGCAGCGACATCACCATCAGCATCGAATCAAGTTCACCAGCATGGCCTTCATGATTGTCGGCAAGACCATGATGCAATTGCTGCCGGTGGCGTTCGTGGTGATGATGATGCTGATGACGATGAGAGGCGTGATTTTGAGGTTGGCGATGATGACGATGATAATGGTGAGCATCATCGGCCTGAACATCAACAGAATCATCGACATAGGTGTCTTTTTGTCGTAAGTATCAGGCATCTGTACAGTAATTGCTGCCATCGCACCATCGTTCCCGCCCAGATCATCGCTGCCATCTCTTTTCCTCGGTTGTTTGCTGCTCGCCTTCCACTTTCAATGTCGCTGCCTGCGCCATCACCATCAACATCACCCACGATCGTCGTACCCACGATCGTCGTCATCATGTTCACAAATGCTGTGTGTTTGTTCACTGTATTCAACGCTCGTTTGTTTCTAACTCGCAAAAAGCTGAACGGATCCCCGAATTTGGGTACTGAATGGCTGTTTGCAAAGCTGTGACAAACCTTTTACCAACCAAGACTATCTTGCACTTGCATCTGCGCAGCAGCATGTCCTGAAACATGACACCCTTCGTCCTGTGGTGTTGCTGGCACCCCCATCCTCCGCTAGGACGAGCCGGCACAGAACACCCCAGCGAGGACGGAGAGTACGATGATTGCTACGGACAGTGATCAGCATCAGTTTTGGAAGTTTGTTCCACTATGATGACTTCTGCGAGTACGTACCACTACCGCTCCCACTAGCACTACCACTACTTACTACTACTTCTACTACAGGTACTACTTTCACTACGGTGACGAACGCTGGTACCTTTTCAACGGAGGAGTGCCGCTGACAAGGTCGGGGAGGCCGTGCCGCCCACGAATCTGGAGTTGGTGAACCAAGATTCGCAGCGGATCGGACTCCCAAGCGTAATCAACAAACATCGATGTCCATGTACCCCAACGCAAACACGCGCTCGTTGCTGGAACTCATTCGGCGACTCATATTCCTGCAATAATTGATAAGGATTGTCACGTGCTGTATCAGTATGATTACTGTTTCTTGTTCTTTCTTTGCTTATCCGGAACACCTGTGCACAGCGAAACCACAAGCAAGTCTGGCTCTTTGGGAAGGCCGCAAGCGAGCCGCCCGCACTGCCTGCCAGCAGCCACAGCAAAGAGCCGCTCGGCGGCCGGCAGTACAAGAAGCCTGTTGCTCTATAAAGCTTCTCGGTTCAAGACAATATGCTCATGCGCTGGTCCCCGCGACCAGCTGCTTGACCGGCTGCTCGCAAGGGTAGCGACACGCTCCGTTCTTATGGTTCTTAGCTCGAGCACCCAGCAGTCTCGATCTACTTGCTGTGGGACTGGCTGTTGACTTGCCCCAACTTCTTGCTAAATTATCTTGCCTAGCAGTCTAGCTCTCTAAAGACATTCTGCTAGCTCCACGATGACCTGAAACCCCAATTCCCGAAATGCGTATATTGCATGGCTGTGGAATACACTGAGGCCCCACAGCTCAGCAGAGGCTTTTGGGACCCGGAAGTGTCTGTCGTTATGTTGAGATGAGTACCCAGAAATGCAGACATATCCTTGTGAAGCGTAGAACACGTGATAACGGATTCAACACCGAGAAAATTGATATCGTATGTGGTTCTAGCGTCACAGTAGGGATTGTTCTCGAGTTGCCCCCACCGTCAGTTTCTTTCTCCTGATGTTGTTGTGGCGGGTGCAGGTGCTGGTGCTGGTGCTGCTGCTGCTGCTGTTGTTGCTGTCTTCATGAACGGTGATACTACTGGCGGCATTTCTAGCAAGCAGGGCACATCGAGGAATCGGCGTTTCGCAGCAGATGGAGCGCATCAAGCTTGCGCTCGTGACATGTGACGTCTTGTTCTATTGCTGTCCGCGACGGAGAGTCGTCTTCTAACTGGTAAGTAACTAGCACAAGTGGAGAAATCTTTGGTAACATCAGAGCTCCTCATGCAACAGCTTCCTGGACGAATGGCATGGATTGGAGGGGGTGGGGGGGGGGGGGGTAAAGCAAGACTCAGAAAGAGTACAATGGACCCAACGCTTCAACGCCCAGTACAGATCACAATCAATTTGCACTGTTGACAGCGCGAGCTGCTGTTGCCCATGTCATGTAGCCGTGGCTGCAGGCGTGTGATCCATTCCTTGACCACGGCCTCGACGATGACGACGAAGATGAAGAGGCGCTGTAGATCCTTCATGCTGATTAGCCGTGGTCTGGGTTTAGGGCTTAGCTTCTGGACACGTGCTTTGTTTCGGCTTCAAGTCGGTGTTCCAGTGATAACTCATAGCTGTGTCGACGGAGATCCGGTGCAGAAGTAACCAGACTGCAGACTCCCAGCAATGGTAAAATTCAAACCCTACAAACTACTCTGGCGACTTTTGGTCATTCAAGCTGGCCCTCGCAATCTCCGGAGACTGATGGTTAAGCGCTCGAGGGACTTGAACAACTCAACAACAGCACATTATTGACTCTAAGGCCTCACAAAACCCAGCAAGCCTTTGAGCCTTACATTGGGCCCTTCAAACCCCAAGCCACTCTGCAAAGCACCATAAACAGTAAGACCTCTCAAAGCTTACGATTGAGCAGCACATGCAAACATGTTGAGCTTGTCAAGCCCCCATTCCGTCATAGACCCTTCTATCAAGGAGGCGGATGAAGCAGAGATCTGGGCCATGTCAGCTCCTGATCCTCCATCCAAGGCCCGCTGCGGGATGAATGTCCTGCTCCAGTTTTGGAAGTCTCCAGCTACAGAGGCTTCAATAGCTGGCTCCCCTTCAACCTTCCCCCCCACATCAAGCATCGGGCTGGAAACGTAGTGAGGCACCCAGCGCTTCGAATCTCTGCATTGAACTCCAAGCAGTTAGTTCAATTCATAAAGCCCTCCACCCTTAGGCTCTAAACGGCCCCAGATTTCAAAGGGGTCCACTAGGTACTAGGTCGCATGTAATGTAGGAGCGAGTGCTTTTTGCCGAGAACCCAGGAGAACTGACTGGTTCGTAGTACGGAGTGGAGGAATGGGTTTTGGGGCTACTATAGGGGACCTTGAGGGACTATCATAGGGATCCATTCCCCCATTCCCTGCTAAGAACCAGAGAGAGAAACTATCGAAAAGTTTACGGAAGTCTTGATCCACAAAATGCGGCAGCAATGCTAAGAGTGCGTAAAGCTGCTCAAAGTTGCGACGGACTGACTGTCAGGCGCCACCTCCCGGCTCCCCACACTACAGGGCGTGCGACCCAAAATCGCCGGCTTCGGGAGAAACGACAATGGCTTGCTCGGTCGTGCCGGTTGGAAATAATATGCAGCATGTGTGCCCTCGATTCAGTTGAGAATGTTGAGGTGCAGGGCGTACAGATGGCAGGAGCAACAGGCCCCACACGCTTTCAACCTGCCACTCAGGTCATGGCGCCGCCGCGCGCAGAACCCCTGCCTCAGACGGAGCAAACTGCTCGGTGTTCGCTGCCATTCGATGCTTGTCCGCTGCGTGCAGCTTAGTGTACTTGCCGTGGCAAATGCTCCTAACTTCAAAGACACCCACCAGCACCACCCTCAGAACAAGCAAAAATCCTGCTGAGCCCCACCAGGAGCCTTTCCCACCGTCGGAGGATGCTCGGGCAGGGCCGCTAGGGTGCGGGCCTAGAGCAAGGTCTCCTTCAGCATGTAGGTGGTTGGAATTCTTGGCTTCGGGCGAACAGACTAGTGTAGCATGATTTCGCTTTAGGCTTTCGGAATCCTGAAAACCACTGGAACAGGCTGCGAATGGCTGATCGCCTGGTGTTTTCAGCCCCGAGGACCCATGCAAAACGTTCGTTCGTGATCCCCAACCGAGCCTGCGTCACGACCCGATGCGATCATCGACACTTAGGTCCCCACCGGAGATGGACCGGGAACACGCCGTGAGCCCAGGTGCGATTCGACATGATCGTGTCTCCAAACCAACGAAAGAAAGGCTGCCCATTGAAGCACTCTAGTTGACAAGCACACCGGCAACACTCCTCATGATGCTCGTGGTCGCCACAATCATATACACATGATCCTAACGATAGCATCGTGAAGCTCTCCGCAAGCTACTCTTGGCTATGGAAGAGCGGCAATGGGCTTGTTGTGATGGGTCGGCACTGCCACTAGCATTGTACTTGCCTTCTCGTCCTGCATGCAGTCTTGCATCTTTAGTTGCCCCGGCTCAAGCTTTGGTATACAGCACACCAAGACCTCTGAACCGCCGAGGTCGAGGGAGAGCCTTCCGAGTCCGAGCCGATGCAAACAGGAAAGAGACCAGATGTCATGTCAGCTGAACTGCATCGTGCGGGAGAACGGTGGGGTGGGGGATGGGGGGGGGCAGCGGAGGGGCGGGAAAGGTCCTTGCAGCGACAGTATGTTGATACTTTTGCTTGAAGCGAGGCCCACTTCAGGCTCGCACGACACAGCTAGTGCAACAGCTGAACAGTAAATAAAGAACCTAGATCTTCAACTTGAAACCTGAATCCTGCACTGACGCTGATGCTCTTGGCTACTACTACTACTACTACTACTACTACTACTGTTGATGGACGAAATCCTGCATCGATTTTCGGTTCCGGCCCATCCCTTCCAAACCCTGAATCTTAGTATTGATGCCAAGCCGCTCTTTAAAAGAGGCATGTCGGCGAATGGACGAAATCCTGCATCAGGTATCTGC